ATGTTATATGAAGTAATGTACATCTGCTTTACTTTCATTTACATTTCTCAAAATATGAACTGAAAGCGAAATATGATTATTGCTTGTGTTTTTCTTAAACAATTCTGGAACTGCAAATTTCGTAAAGTACAGAAATCCACATTTGATTTCACATGCTCTAAAAAAAGAAAAAGCGTTTAAAGTTTTATTAGCTGATAATTTTTCTCAAATGTAATAATTTGGAAAACCCTTAACATTAATTTTATGTGTACTGCCTTAAATATATATGTAAGAAAGATAAAGAATATGTAAAAGATTAAATTAGCGGCGTAAATTAATTCTATTCAAAAAATAGTAAAATTCTATTCTAAAAATAGTAACCCATTCTATTCTATTCTAAAAGTATTCTCTATTCTAAAAATAGTAACCTCTCTCTGCACTGCGTCATTTCTAGATTAATCTATGTCATATGACTCTTACGTAATTCTAGTGATGTAAATTGAACTAAAACTCAAGCAGCTAATAATAATTTTACAGCAATATTAACTATCCAATCAAAATGCTTTGAGAACCAAAACTAACTCAGTTTGACTTAGGATTTCATCCTGAAGATTACACACTTGCTTTCCACGCTTTGCCTTAGCTCGACTGTAGTCTGTCTGCTCCTTCTTTTTTGCTGCAAAACTGTCAAAAATTTAAGTCTTTTGGAACAGGCACATTTAATGTGCCGACTTGTGCGTAGCCGCAAATGCTGCTGAAAATAAAACTGAATATTTAATCTGCCTTCGCCTCCATTTTCCTGGTCATTGCTTCTGAGTTTGAATATATTACATATATATATATATATATATATACCGGGGGGCCATAATTAAACTGACAGTGCTCACAGTATTCTGTAGCGCGATCTATTTGCGAGAATGACGCCACATTTTGTAGGAAGATTAAACAAGAAGGGGGACGAAGGATTCCGCGAAAAAAAAAATTAGTTCCAAAAGTCACCGCTAGCGGAATATTTGGCGCTGAGTAATAGAAAATAGAGTGTCAACAAATGCAAATTAATACGGAATAAAATTTATCGTAGGTCCATTCTTCTGTGAGAACATTACCCCGACAGGACCGGAAACCTGTTCTGTTACCGGAGAGAAATATCGCCACATGTTGAACAGCTTTGTCATTCCGGCACTTCAGCAAAGACAATGCCTGGGGAAAATCATTTTCATGCAAGACGGAGCCCCTCCAGACGTAGCTGTACGGGTGCAACAGATGCTACGACAGAAATTCACAACAGAAAGAGTCATTAGCCGCTACTTTGCAACTGCATGGCCACCTCGGTCGCCTGATCTTACCCCATGCGACTTCTGGCTATGGGGTTACCTTAAGTCCAAGGTCTATCAAGGAGTGGTCCAGGACCTTGGCTACGTTGAAGGATAACATATCACGGACTGTACGGGAGATTCTGCAGACATGTTACTTTCTGCTGTTGTGCATACTGTGCACAGAATGCAATATGTGGTCCACAACAACGGCACCCCCATTGAACCTCATTTGAATGCAAAATAAAAGGTAATTTCCGTATTGATTTGCATTTGTTAACACTCTGTTTTCTATTACACAACGCCAAATATTCCCCTAGCGGTGAATTTTGGAACTAATTTTTTTTTCGCGGAATCCTTCGTCCCCCGTCTTGTTTAATCTTCCTACAAAATGTGGCGTCATTCTTGAAAATAGATCGCGCTACAGAACAATGTGAGCACTGTCAGTCAGTTTAATTATGGACACCCGTTATATATATATATATATATATATATATATATACATATATACAGAGAGAGAGAGAGAGAATAGAAGCTTCCAATCTGAAATTAAGCAAAATTTATTAGAATCTAGGATAATATTATAATGAAATTGTACAGATTCGAGAGTTGCTATCAGGTGCCATTCTCAGTCCTTCGCACAGGAAATATACAGGGCTATTACAGGTTATTAATGAAATTTCAAACGTTGCATTTTTACAAGTATTAGGCATAGATTAATAACTGCGCAGAAAAATTTCGGAAACTCATTAAGTTTTATCTCACACTATATATATTCTGTATAAGTGATGTTACCAATGGGCCATACATATAAATGGTACCCAAGATTCGTCCCAAGTCTCCTGATATAATGTCATGCGATTTCTTTCTTCGGAAGCTTGTGTTTTAGCTCATAACTTCATTACCAACAATAATAATAGAACAGAACAACAGACACAGTAGACTCAAGAAACACACCACCAGACTGCAAAGACGACTGAAAAGGAAAAACTGTAAAAGGATATGGACCGAACTCTATTACATTGTATATGAGTCGGGTGATCAGCAAGGCATATGGAATATATTTGCAGTGTGTGAGGAAAATTTGATGGGTTTCTAATTCTTTTCATATATTAAACATTATTGTATGTGTAAATACCTTTAAAAATACAATACTTTGAATTCAGAAGAATCATTTATAGCAGCCATGTTGATTGTATGTATAAGGTGTTAAGATAAAAAAATTAAATAAATAATAAGAATGAAATAACAAATAAAATACCATCGATCATACAAAATTAGAAACTAACAATAATTGAAAATACTATGAATGTGGATTCGTGTAATTTCATTTTAGTGTTACAACTCATTGGAAATGCAGGTTATAATTCACTGAAAAGATTCTTATAGAATTTTCACTGGTATACTTAATTTTTAATTTAACACATTTCACAGTTTTTCTTCCTTTTTTAGATTTCATACAGCATTTTCAAACTGCAATTTGCATTTCTTTTTTACATAAATACAGATGTGCCTAATTTTAGAAGATTCCTGACTTAACGAAACAATCTTTGTACATGTTTTGAAATAATTGAATTTTGCACGCAAGATAAAATTTAGGGCAAAAATATTAAAAATATTATTAAAAATATTGAAATTATCTCAGTAAAATGTTATGTTAGATGTTAATAATAAAATAAAATTTCAACATTTAGATAAGAAAAGTCTACAAAGATTAACTATAATCCATGCAGATGACACTTGATGACATTTACTACAGAAAAATATTTAAATCTAAAATAAAATAAAAAAAAAAATAAAAAAAAATAAAAAAAAATAAAAAAAAAAGGAAATGTATAGGAAAACGATTTTAAAAGGAATCATAACGAGGACTTCAGTTCCTGCCTCCAACGCAAATTTAAAAATATTATCTATCTCTTTTGTTGAGTTTGTGTTTTAAAAAGTCTCACTTAAATACAGAATAAATCTTAAAATTATAGAAGATAATGATGCTACATCGTTTTGGAACTACAGCCTAAAAAAGGAAAAGCAAAAAAGAGGAAAGAAAAATAAATCGAGAGAATAAATTATAACTAAGAGCTTATACAGAAAGCATGGAAAGAATAAATAATATAATAAGGCAGAAAGAAATTTTCGTTATCATGAGGAAATTGTTGTAAGTTCTCTCCGAAAAATACTAATGAAATGATATTTCTTTATAAGCAGCAGCTTTTTCCTGTGATGCTGCACGAATTTGACCTAAGTGATTGAATACGTAAATGCTTCGTTCACGAATTTTACTCCGCTTACAAAATCGACTAAATAAAGCAATTATAATGAATAAATTCTTAACGAATACTATTTTTAGAATATTAGTATAAACGCAGCTGCAGAAAAGCAGAAACTAAAAGAAATTTTAAGAATAATCGTGGCACTTTAATAGCATGCTGTATTTTCTGACATTTATATTATTACCAATATCTTAGCTGTTTTAAAATTTCTCTTACGTCAAGGGAATAATGACGCACAGTTTTGAAATAATGACTTACTTTATTTTTCTTACCAGTTAACTTACTCATTTAGCTGAAAGATTTTTCCACGACTGCAAAAATTTGATCGACAAAAACTTTACTTATTTATTCAGTTATCTGCAAAATAATCTTATTTTCAGAAATCATAAACATGAATTGTATATAACAGCAGGTAAAGTACTAATTGGTAACTACTGTAATACTAAATTCTTTTTAGGATGGCATTCGTAAAGTGCCTATTAAACTATAATGCGACATTTTTTTAAAATTCTTGGTCAACATGTTATAGACTGTCATATTAAGGTAATTTTTCGTATTTTGCAGTTTTGCTTCTATATTAAAAATATCCATGAATAAAATATTCAAGAGAAATGCACGGAATGTGATCAATGCTGTTAAGAAGTAATAAGAAACATTACTAACTTCAATGAAAGGAAAAAAGGTTTCGAAAAATGCTATTTGATTAAAGCGATTCTAATTTTCAGTTCTGTTTTTAAAAATACCAAAAAAATGAATGAAATATATATTCATTTGAATATGAGTAAATTTACCCCAGCCCATCTACTGATGGTGACTGTATAAAATAGAAACTTTCCAGGTGTTCGTGCAAGTTAATAACATATCTATAGATACTAATTCAGAAGTCAAACAACAAAAATCAGCGTTATAATTTCAGCGTTATAACGCTGATTTTTGTTGTTTGACTTCTGAATTAGTATTTATTCGGCGTGTTATTGTGTCTTAATTATATCTATAGATGTAGAAATGTGACAGAGAATGTTACAATCTAGAGTCGATATTCAAAACTTTATGAATGAAATTTATGTTTGAGATTATAGCAACTTGTGAAAAACGCTAAGTGGATTTCATTCAGAAAATATGTATAAGAAAGAAATAATTTGTACTTTTTTTTTAGTCATTTTCTAACTGCTATTCGTTCTACCTTCTAATTCTAATAGGAGGCGCTTTTTCGATCACGAGGCCTCTGTGAAAATAAATTAATAGTTTACCTACATTTCTTGTAGGTGCTAGTGACATTTATATAAGTAATGAGGATTAGGTGAAAGGATATAAAAAGGGAATGGATGATGCGTCTATTCAAAATGAAACGAATTCTTTCATCTTTTTAGCATCATCATCAGAAAGTACATTAAAATTCTGTTGAAGCTATTTTGACAATAGAAAAGAACACTAAATATTTTGCAATCAGTACTTCGTTAAATAACACTTTAATTGGCATTTTCAATTAATATGAATAAGTGAAATAGGATATCTCAAAATTTTAGCAAATCACTCAAAAGGGAAATTCTAGATGCAGAAATGATACTTATGAAAATGTTTTTAGATCCCAAATGAGAATCACTGATTCGAATAAAAGAGTGAACCAAATAACTTTGATAGGGAATATAGAAACCATATCTTCTTGACTAATATGCAATTTTACTTTACCCAAAAATTTTGCCATCAATTTGGTGTAAAATCACATGTGATTATCACCACAGATATATTAATATATATCGCATCTGTTTACTGTAACAATAACTATAGCACACATAATATGTCTGCTATACAGATCATTTTCCTATGCTATGATATCACATTTTGTGGCAATAAATTAAAGATTCCATTTGATTTCCCTTTGAGGCAAATTTAACTTTGAAAACTACTTAACTAAGCATAACTGTACAACTTGTGTACAACCATGAAACTTTAAACAAAGGGATAACGGCATATTAGCCTTGAAGGCATGTTTCCTAATATGAAGACAATGGAACAAATTTGCAAGATTTCCTTAATGGTCTAAGAAAATTTTTGCACTGGAAAATTATCTGTAATGAACTATCGTATGCATACAAATCTATCCAAACCCCTTAGTAACTAAGTGTAAGGACTATAGTGCATTATTTTCTTCTATTTCCAAGCATTCTTCTTGTGTGTCCTGCTTTGTAAGTGCAGGAAAAACAGTGCAATCACAGGTATTGGTAACATTAGATTCAGTTTCAGGTTGGCCTCCACCGTCTGTTTTGTCTAAGGTGGAGTCCGAAAAATGATCTCCATGACACCCAGTAGAAACTTCATCTTCTGGCACATCCAATGTAAAGGTATCTTTCGCTGGATATTGTTCCCCTGAAATGGGTTTAGAACTGGATGAAGAAGTTGCAGCTATATTTGTGGCAGGGGAGTTTGGTTGGCTGTCCTCCCTGAAGAAGATAGAAGCAGTGGGCTCAGAAACCTCTCGAGAAGATCCGAAGGCACTCTCTTGGTTGCTTTCTTCTAAGGGATACGACCTGGCACATCCGGATTCTCCGTCAAGCGAATGCCTCAAGGTGACTTTCTTTTTGACTCTCTGACTTACATCAGAATGAACCCTAAAAATATAATGGACCATCAAATAATTGTCTGTAAATCTTCCGTAAGTTTGACTTATACATAAGTTTGACTATCACTGAACTACCTAATTGTTTTACAAGATAGATTTAGAGAACCTAAACGTTTAAGTGTTTGCATCCAATGATATTATTAGAATCGCCATGGATAATATTATAATTAGCGGAGGTTGTATGCAAACCCAAAGCCAAGGTTGTGGGTTTGACGGTAGAGATTAATTGTATATATGTACCCTTCTTCCTGGCGGGTACAGTATCGCTCCTATTGTGCACGTTTCGTAACATGTTGGTGGTGAAACATATAAATGAATTATAGTTAGGCCATTACCGTCGAATGCGTTCGAGCTTCAAGAAGTTCTACTCATTTCTGAACTAATTTATTAACCATCATTTTTAAATTTAAAGTAACTCATCTTTCTATTTCTATGTAGCAAGTGTAATAAAAGATCTAGTTCAATTGCAGTAATTCATCGACAAGAAAATTAGGTTTTAAGTTCTCATTTTAAGAGATTTATAGATCAGTTACCAATATGAAGTTACTGGGAACACTTGAAAGGTTACCTGAGGCAAATTTGTACAAAGTCAAGGGTATTAATATTTAAATTTGTTTCAAATGTGCAGAATTTAGGTCCATATACTCATTACACTAACTGTTTTTCTACAATAAATTTAAATGCATTTTATTCAAAGTGAAATAGAAACTAAAATTCTGATCTAGAATTTAGGATCTTTTTCGGACTTTAAAAAAAAAAAAAAAAAAAAAAAAAAAAAAAACTTTTTATTGATAGTAAAAATAACGAAACAGTTTTTTTTGTATGTTTAGCATTTACTTTATTTCAAGTCTTTGAAAATGTAAAGACTTAATAAAGGGAATGAAATAAATTCACTTTACTCTTAAATTATTTTATCAGATTCACCCTAAGGAACCTATATGCATTGCACATCCAGTGATATCTAAACAAGTAATTCTGACAAGAATAAAATAGTGTTTTTTACCATATTCTTTCGAATACTACACTTAAGCGCTCAAAATTGAGATAGAAAACCTAAACAGCCTATTAACAACAAACCGTAACAGGCATTAGCAGCTGTTTTAAAGAGCTTGCGGAATTTTAATGAAATCTCATGAACAGATATTTAGTGTCAAGAGATATGAAGACAGCAACTTACCCCCCCCCCCGAAGAGAAAAGAAGTTTAAATTCCTGTACTATGAAAATTTGAGAAACTGCATTCAAAGCATGACGTACCTCATATCCTAGAAAAAAGGACTAATAAGAAAGGAGCTCAAAACAAAACAGCCACACAACTCGAACAATGAGTCTTTATGCTGTCAAAGAGGTTGCTGAGAAGTGTTTATGAGAATAAACCACCGCTTTTCCAAACATCGAATTTTAATTCCAGAAAAATTTTGGAACATCACTGGTGTAATCCATTTATATCATTAAATTTAGAAACCTGGTTCGGATACACAATCCGGCGAATATCCTCTTCAGAGGAATCAGAGGCCATCTGAGCTCTACGAGTTGCAGTGTTTCCTTCGAATGAAAATGAAAAGGAATCTAATCACCTCTCTCTTCAGAAAAATCTTATAAAAGTCGCGGAGCGAAGTCGAATTACGGCTCGCTGGTGTTGCTAGCTTTCGGTCGAAGCTTTGTTCGTGGCGACATCAATGGGTTGAATCAGAAGCCTGGTGCGAGAGACCTCGCTGGCTTAGTATACAGAACTTGATTTCGCGACATGGGAGGCGAATTCTCTATCACTAGCGCAAAAGAGCTTCTGTACGCTAGATTCAAGAATTTAGACTCTTTTAAATTTGCGAGCGTCGAGTGGCTTTGCGGACGCCGCATACGCAGAAACACCGAAAGCACAGCACCGAAAGCACGGCAGTTGTGCCGTGCTTTCGGTGTTTCTAGAGAAGGTTTTTGCTCGTGACATCTTTGGGTCAAACCAGAAGCGTTGTGCGAGAGACTTAGGTAGCTTCGGGTATAGAACGTGAGATCGCGACATGGGAGGCGAATCCTCTACCACTAGCGGAAAAGAGATCATATGCAATAGATTCAAGAATTACAACTCTTTTAAATTTGCGAGCGCTGAGTGGCTCCGCGGAAGTTTCAACCTAAAAGACCTCATCCCTTTAGCTCTAGATAAAGAAGCTCCCTCCTTCAAGAATATCTAAGATCAAGTTAATCAACATGATATCATTCGACGGTGAAATTCCTGCTCGATTGTAGCTGTCGCGGACCCTCATATTTAAAGCCTTTTATGATATTTTGAACTGTGCATTTAGATACAACAGAAGAAACATAAACCACTGTTATGTCAGGAATGATGCGCACTGCATAAAAAAATGGAGTTTTCCTGAGTTGAATGAAACACACATCATTGCTCATTAGGTGTTAAAGTTCTTTCTTTACAAACCATACCTACCTACATACAGTTGTTCAAGTACAGCAGTAAACTCAAGGAAGAGATGGCGAGTTGCCATCTGTTTATGGTGACAGCTCACGGTGTTACTCCTCAGCGATCTCACCCGGATCTTCTAAAAATTATTCTAGTTTCTTTGAATTTTTTCACAGTACGCATACCACTTTTGAAGATCTTTAGCAATCTCGTAGCCTTCACATGATTTTATTGAAAGGCGATTTACACGAGAAATCACTTTCACACATAAAAAATCTATGGGTTTGTTAAAACACGAGTTTTCTGCTTCTTTCTTATATTGTCACTGTTTCTGCTCTGATTTCAAATAAATAAGCAAATTACATTAATCACTCAAGCTTGCATAAATTTTCCAGTTTCTAGTCAACAAAAGGTTCATAAAACTGATTACTTTAAAAAATATTATAGTATCAACTTACATTTTTCAAAACTTTATAAAAATGTCAATAATTCAGTAAGTTTAATTGTTGTCATTTTTGAAAGGATTTTATCAATATAAACTTAATAAAAGTACATATAGTATCTACGTATCCGAAAAGCGTCAAAATCTCTTATGGTTTTTGTAGTATTGTTTCTAAATGAATGCAATGTTTATGATTATGTATTAAACCTTACCTGTGTATGCTTCTGGGAAACGTTTTTGACACTGGAGAATTCCCTTCTGGTGAGGAGTGATCCATGTGGAGAATTGAACGATGTGGCTTAGGTACAGCCGACAATATAGGAACAATGGGTGGTGGGGGTGGGGGGAGAGGCGGAGTGCAGCAGACTGGGGACGTTACGGATTGTGGAGTTCCTAAGTAATTATGCGGAAAATTTCCCCGATCTTCCAAATACATCTCAAACAGTTGATCTAATTTGTTCTCGATTTCTTCCACCTGAAATTAAAAACGAATTCTGATAAAAGTTTCGGGAAAGAGATTAAATGGAATGACATTATGTGTCTGGTTGCAACATTTTTGGTATACTTATGTTTGTTTTACGTTTAAATTTGTTTTTATAACTGGCAAATCTTCTTCCTTTATGCAGACTTTTCGTTAAATGTCCATAGTAACAATTTAATGATACAGATCAGATTAAATTTTTAGAACAACAACGCAAAAACATTAATAGAATTTTAAAAGGTAAGGCTGTGATATGCATTCATCTTATTATTATACGTCTCAGATATTGAAATATCTCACAGGCTGAAAATTCTGGACAACGTTGCACTGAGAAGATCGATTGACGTTAACCATATTTCTTTTCACTTCTTATCTCTCTATTCAGATAATGTCATAAAATTTTAAACTTTTCATCATTATTCTGCAGAAATTATACAGTGGTATAATCCTAGAACGGTCTGTAAATGTTTAGTGTTTATGACGTATTTATTATTACGTGAACAAGTCAATTTATTAGAACTACCTGCTACTTTTGATATTCCACACAATTGTTTGAAGAGAGAAACTACGTGGGAAGAGGACTGCTTGCACAACTGATCAGACGGAGCCATTATGGGAAAAGAAGGTCCTTTATTCGAGTTATAACTGGGCATAATTATTATTTATCGAGAGCATGTTGAAATTCGCACTATTTTATGTATATTTTTAATGAAAAGTGACAGTGTACCATGGTTGGACAGATGACTCAATTTAGGCGGACATCAGATCAAACTGTAAAATCTCAGAAGCCACTAAGTAGAGGCAAAAGTCACATCTAACATCTGGTATCAAGGAAGCTTTAATAAGAGTATATTTCTGCGCAACTGTGAATCACCTCTCCATACAAATGAATTAATAAACTCCCAGAAGTGAAACCAAGGCAACAGTTATGCCATCTTTGTTGCATATGGATCTCAGTGGCCAACATCCGTAGAATAGGTAGGTATTCACAAGAATTAATTGATGAAAGAACCTTTAATATGTATAACAGTACGGAAATTGGATTAATGAAAAGAGACAAAAAATTGCCTTCTTAGATGAATCCCAAATTTGCGAATGGTGTGTCACAAACTGATGACACACAGTTGAAGATAAAGGCGTACCTAATGCAAAACATTGGAACTACACGATCCAGATACACGGATGTCAGATGTTGGGTGGTGGTGGTAGAGTTCCACTCGGAAGAGGGGATATTTGTTTGGCATTATCGAGTGTCCTGACACCTGCAGACCATACCTGTGTACCTTTTCGTACGTTATGATGCTGTGCACCTCTACATGTTATCTATCATTCTTGACAGCGACAGAATTTTCTAAATACGATAATCTGACCTCTGCGCATATGTATATACGACATATATTGTCGGACTGGTCGAAAGGCCCCAACTACGTATCTCATTGGCCTTAATATTCTTCGGACCTTTACATCAAAGGAAATTTTTGGAACCACATGCTTAGAGCATAGCGCTTCAACCTTATACACATGCCTAGCTTTAGATTTCTGTATGAAGCTTCTAAAATCTCATTGCATCGCTTCTACGGCATCTTATTGCTGTCTAAGCTCTGAAGGAGTTAATTATAGTATTATAATTATTAGGAAAATGGTTCTAATAATATGACTTGAGTCTGTTATTTTGTCGCATACATTTCTGTTTGTTTTCAGAATATCACAGTAATTTTGTAAATTTAATTCCATACATAATATATTAATAAATTAATATTTAAAATAAAAAATAATATTAACTAACAGTATTTAAATATATATTTATTATTAAATAATATATTTAAAATTAAATATTGATAAATTAATATTTAATTCTATGCATTTTATTTCATTACACTGTTTTTTTGCATTATTTCACATTTTCATATTGAAATGAAGAGTATTAATAATCTTACAATTACCTCTAAATCCTCAAAAGAAAAAAATATTCGCATAATTTTTTTAAAAATTAATAACAAAATGGGAATAATTTTAGAGAGAATACATTGAAAGCCAAACAAACAAAAAGCAGTTAGACCTGCTGCGTCAAACAGTTAGCCAGGTATGAACATAATGGAAGCATTTTTCAAAGAAATCAAATTTGCTACTGTTACAGATCCAAGGAAATTCTGACACAGAGAGTTTTATTGCTTTAGAGAATATAGCGTATATAATTTAATAAATAAATCAATATAAAAATTTTTATATGAACTCAGCGAAACCAAACTCACAAGATTTCAGTTGCAATGTGCAATATTTACTTTGCTGATGTGGTCGGGAATTAAGTCGGTAATAATTTGATGTTGACTGATTTAATCGATTATGGCTAAGCATGTTAGGGCTAACCGTCTAAGAAAGGATGATTTCATGAAGAACTATCTAAGGAAAACATGGCTCGAATTTATGCTAAAGAAGGGGACAATCACAAAATCATCTCTGCAGTCAAACAGTCCAAATATATGTTTCAGCAAGCTACTGACAGACCAGGAATTGGAACTAGTGTGACTGTAATAATTACATTTGACAAAATAAGCTATTAACCTGCAATAAACAGGTACCAAGAATGAAGAAACGTTTTTGTTCGTAATGTGTTTTATAAAAAATAAACAATTAGGAGCACACTCATAAGTATAAAGCAATTTGATTGTTAGTCAAAAATAATAATAGAGAATGAGACAGAGAAAGAAAACTAATTAAAATTTTCTGGTACTTACTGCCCGCTCCACTTTAACAATCCGACAAGCTAAGCTTACTTTGGACTCGTATACATCCTTTGCTTTAGAACCAGGTTTTCCCAGAATTTGGTCTAGCCTGTAAAGTGCAGAAACGCCACATTTTATTGACCTTTTTTTGGGTCATAATTGTTGCATACAGAAGAACTTCAATAGGCGGAAGATTAAGACCATTTACACTGGAGTTTATCTGTGCCAGCGGGATCTGTTCTATATGCTGATTAGCTTGCTACACATAATGCTCAGATTTTTTTTGCTCGCTGCGCTATGAAGAAGAACTAGTTTGGAACTGCGTTGGCAATGCCAGATGTCTCCGTTAGCTCATTAGATAAACCCCAGTGTCCTTTAACGAGGAAAGGGACAGGCAGACACTCACCTTCCCCAAAATTCGAATAATGAAAAATTCGATTTATCCAAGTTCCTCTGTATATTATATGAAAGATGAGCATATTCATAAATATTAAATCGCATTTCTTTTTAAATAACAGCAATTATGCACCTTTAAAATTTATGCAAAGGACGAAAGAATTAATCTCAATTTAAACATCAGCTCCAGTGATGTTTAAATGCTGCTATTTCTAAAACTTTTTGTACACATTATTATCAGGTTAAAAATTAATAATAAGGCTTTAAGGTTATTTCAACAGATAAAGGAGGGAGATAAGCAAGATATAAAAAAATGGAGCTATTTAGCTAGGTGCCTAAGGCATGGCATTTGAAACATCTCTTAGTTATTACACCAAAGCTGTATGCATTTTAATTTACATCAATGAGATATATTATTAAAAACCTAATAAAAACGTAAATTGATGATAAAGGAATTCCTTCCTCATAAAAAGCTTAGTCTTGTACCCTGTACCTTTTATCAATCGTCACTTATCTGGTCGCAGCCCAATCGGCTTTTGACAGGTCATCTTGTTCGATAGCAGTGACTGTAAAAGACAGTGAGGCACACATATATTGTTTTATATCGCAAAATATTATTAACAAAAGTTAGTGCAAAGTGAAGGAAAAATAAACAGCCAAAATTTGAAGAAATTAGCAATCAGGCAAAGCAAGCTACAAAACCAGATATGCCACTTGAGATAAAGTGGTCAGCCCTTTGGGAAAAAGTAACTCAGCTGGATTTCAATACAGAAGCTGCGCTGCAACAGCAGCCGTGAAAATTGCATCTTTTGTGCGAAACTGGACTTTAGTCAGAAATTAACAAATTTTAATTAAACTAATTCTTAAATTTGCATTTAACGTTTTGAACAGCCTTTTGATCCAGAAGCTTGATTGGCAGTATCGAGCTTCAGGTGGATTGATAAAGTCATATGTTTCCATTTTATTCCGTTATTAATATCTTATCACGTTCTAAAAAATCTTACAGAATAAGTACCGAAAGCAAATGATACATGAAAAAGAAGTTTTGAACAACTGAGTGGCTAACTGAAAGCAGCAAAAATATAAGAAACAACTGCCGTGATTTTCCGAATATTCCCAAAGAAAATGCTAATTTTGGCAGGAATGCTGGAGAAATGCGTGCTGGATTATTAGATATGCCGAACCACTGGATGCCGGACTGTCGGACTTTTGCTGTAGCAAGTTTAATTGAATCACTCATCCAATATGTAATTTAGAATTATTTCGCCAACAAATCACATCAGATCTTTTGACAGTTAATATCCTTTTCATATGATCTAATTGATGATAACACATGTTTTTATTAATGATTTGGTTATTTTTTAATTGTTACAAATAAATCCACATTTCTTATATTCAGCCGTACACAAAGCTAAATTTTAGACAACATCCTGGTTTTCGTGAGATTTGACTTCTCTTTAAGACCAGCTCCCTTAGTCAATAATTCAGAGAACAATTGCATCATATTTAGGGAAGAAAGGAATGCGTCTAAGATTTCTTGTCTTGTACCAATACTGGCATTCTTTATTATTCACCACAGTTATTCTGACCGTTCCTTTTGTTCTTTCTGTGTGCCTGTGTACAATGCAGTATTTAAAAAATGAAGAGACTGCAGACAGATTTTATCAAAATATGAAATAAACCAAAGCATCTCGGAGAAACTGATTACTTTTTTCTACAAATAAATTGCTTTTTTACCGTCCATGTGCAGAAGCACCGCAGGGTTATCTTAACATGGATAGACAATAACTTTCCTGTTCCTGCAATCAAAGCTTGGACACTTTACTTTATTTTGGTGTAAAAGAAAGAAGATACACAAAAATTAAAAAGGTATACGATAGAGAATAATATAGCGAATTAAAATCAAGTCAGTTTTTTTCAATGATCCTATTTAGCTAAATTTTACATTGCACCAATGTTTTCGTATTCCTGAAAAATCGAATTTGAATGTAATTTACATGAGATTCCCTTTTATGATATTAATTTGCAAATTAATGTGAATTTTTAATGACTTAAATATTTTTGCGTCATAGGTAATTTTCTATCTAAATATTTCAAACATATGGAGAGGAATGTGAAATTTTATATATTTTCTGGAGTTCCACAAACAAGCATTTAACTAATATATAACACATTTGTCGAGATTGTTTTAACTCAAAGCCTTGGTTTACGTGGATTACATACAGTATGGTACAGAAAAAGCGTGACTGCAGTACTGACTGTAATCGCTGATACATTTTCATTGAAAAATGAGCAAAAACATAAAATTAAAATTAATTTTGAGAAACGATTTGTAAAACAATATTCTTACTATATATATATAAATGAAAAATATTACCTGGATTGTAAACTTTTGACTCTGCCAAGCAAGTCGACGTGACCTTGGGAATATTGTTCTATAACATCTTTGACGTCGTAAGGTTTAAGAGCTTCTTTGAACTTCCTTCGAGCGACGAAATATTTGATCTTACGTCAAATATACAAAAAAGAATATTCAAAATTGAAAATATTTTAAATTTTAATCATTTACAATTTTTTTCGCTAAAATTTTTTATAAGGGATGAAAGCAAGTAATTATACAATATTCTCTTACCCATTATCATTAATATCTGCAAATATAACTATGTGTGCTCTAGAGACCACAAATGGCCTATTATATATTATTTCCATTATTTATAATTAAGAAAAAAATTAGAAACAATAATCTTTAATACTGGACAATAATATTTTATGATGAAACTCAAATTAGATTAAATTATCATTTCATCATAATATTAAGATAAATAGCTGCATGTACCACCTTTGAAATCTGAAATATGTCAACTAAAGAACAAAAAATATTATCAAATATAAGGTTCTTCTGTGGCTGATGAAAAATTGCCTATAATTCTTTCTGAAGCCTAACATAATTTTGAGCCAGTTCGAATCTGTGTGAAGAAAGAGTAGATGTTATTGCGCATTTAACAAGAGAGGTAATCACTTAGATTTTTGAGGATAAACGGATAAAGAATAGGAAAAGAAGATAATAGAAAGCTATAATCCTAGACTGCTCAACTGATTAAAGCTTTATAGTATCTTCTAGTATCTTTAGTATCTTCTAGTATCTTCTAGTTATCTTCTAGTATCTAGTATTTTCTAATATCCGCTCTGCGGATAACAGGTTATCCGCAGATCCATGAATACAAAATTACATCTAAAAAATTTATACAATATTATTTATAATTTCTAAAGCAAATGAGATTTATATTTCTTTATAAAGATTCAGAGCTAATAAGTAAAGCATTCGATTTAAAGGATGTAAAGCTTTAGTGTTTCCATGTCTTTACCATAACGTTAGGTGTAATAAAAATGTTCACGCCTCATCTAATTTTTTTTGAAATACACATTTTTACATTTTAATTGTCAATTACTGTCATTTCTATGGTAAAATTATTACATTTTAATAGTGTACTATAAACTGCCTTATTACACTTAGAAGGTTTCTTGAAGAAGATATATACTGCAAATATTGCATTTTCTAAGTACCTAGAAAGAAAGTAGCAGTATAGAACTAACAATAAATCTGATCTCTGTCGGGATAAAATTAAAAAAAAAAAATATTTCCAGAAATTTGTATGTCTAAATACCATAAGCTCTTAATCTAACCTTTTTTTTTTTTTACAAGCGAGCTTTTAATCTAACCTTTTTTTTTTTTTTTTTTTTTTTTTTTTTTACAAGCGAGCTATCAAATGAGTAAATTTAATGAAAGATCGAATGACTGAAATAGTTTTAAAAACCTTGAAATGATTAAGATTAAAACTTATATTCTTATATGTTAAATTTTTATCCTTTATAGTAAGGAGGTCAGTTTGTAGCATAATACAGTGAAAGTTAATGAACAAGTGCAACCAAGGCGAGTAGACAAACAAGGTGTAAGGATTTATTTATTTTTAACTAACCAATTATTTTATGTTCAATAGCTTTACGTGTTTCTCCTTTTCCGTTTTCCTGCCAGAATGTAAATTTTTTCGCGCAAATTCAAATGAGGTGGAAATAGATACTGTTTAAAAGAAAGTTTCAGATTGTTGAATCAGAGCGTATGCCGCATGTTGAAGGCCACGTTACTATTTGAAACTCTTAGATAGCAATCTGTCTGTAGCGTTGCGTTATTAGACAAGGCTCGTCACGCAAGTATTAGGTTTGAACCAGCTTGCGCGTTATTCCTTCTGTGTAGCCTTTGCCTACATGCGACTTAGCTTTAATTTGAATTCATTATTTTTAAATTACGTCATAAATGATGGCTGGTTTTGTAAGTACAAGGATAGTGGTTAGCGACGCTGACTGTCGTATTGAAGGGCCCGGTTTCGAAACCCGGAGAAGGCATATACGTTTGTAAATGTATAGTATCTGTGCGGCTGAGGGGCACTCTAAATATGCGGCGAGCCGAAAGTTCTCTAGACAGGTTGGTAGTAGGGCAAGAGAGGTGGGAGATACTCGGATCCTCTCCCCTCGAGATGCTCTCTTTCAAAATTTTGGGGGCTTGAACTGAAAAAAGGCGTACCGTCACCTGTATGGTGCTCAAGGCTCTTTCCAAAAGGCAGACGCAATTCTGCACTCCTTGCCACAATGAATTTCGTGGACTTGTTCTGATGTTACTCTCAAACAAGTGAGACAAGTTACAACAACTTGAGTGTAATAAAAGGGTCTTTTACACCCTTCGTACGTCTCTCTGTCTGATTACTGGACATAGCGATAGTCGCCTACGTTCAAAGTGAGTGATTTATGTATTTAAAGAAGATGAAACTCTATATAGGTCAGGCTTTTCTCAACGCTCGACTCCAATGACTTGGATTTGTCCAATAGAAATGGAAGGCGAGGACGCATAAAGGGAATAGGGAATATAACACCCAACGCTTATTAAACTCACCGATTAATAAAAATAAGCCACTTATTGCGTTCAGATTCAAAGGAACCAAAACAAATACCTATTAATAATAAAAAAACCTGCCATTTATTAAAATCATCTTCACAGCTTATAAAACTCATTGGAAAAAGAACGAGAGTTTCCTACCAATTTGTTCCTACCAATTTTTCCTACCAATGTTAGTTTCCTACCAAATACTTATTAAAACTCTTTGTAGTTCATCTGCTTAACTTACTGAGGACAGTGGCTTATTTATCGTTCAGGTAAGTACAGCTTCAATAAAAAAAAGTTTGGATGAAATTTAGGCCAGTGTAGTTCTACTCCTTTCGGTCCCTGCACCTATCGGACACTGTTTGCAAAGCTCTTTGTACGGACTATAGCTGAAGGAGCAGAAATTCCTTATCTAAAAGTTAACAAAATGAGTTGTAAACGAGTGAGTGTTCATTGTCGAACTTCAGCTGATTCAGGGAATGGAAGTGCAACCTATGCATCCCATCTTGTAAGAATTCCACGTTCAGAATATTCCCGCTGATACACACAAATTATGTTAACAAGAAGTTCTGAGAAAACTTCAGAAAATGTCCTTTACCTTTACAGTAGGTTATTAGTTTTCGAATAGAAAAAGAGTGGTAGTTGTAGACTGAAGAAGAAGAAAAGATGTCCTTGATTGTACCTGCAAACCTCGAAGTTTAAATCGATTTAATTGACTAAGCACGGTGTTTCTGCTGGCTAAAGTAACATAAGTTTCGAAATTGAACAAATCTCTGGAGGTAGTCCTTTTTAAACTGATGTTTACAAAATTTATAATGCGTCGGAAAGATTTAAGCCTGAGAGGAAAAAATAAATTTTTAAACGGTAAAGCATCATTCTCGTAAGTGTAGCTAGAGAAACTCTCCATTTAAATTAGAAATATCCCAAATAGTGTCATGTAACTTACTTAAACAAATAATTATATTTCATGAATAATTAGTAAAAAATGCAGATGTCTCAAGGAAGTGCAAAAGGGGTGGAAATACGTCGATCGTTGACACTGCTTTTCTAAGAAGAATTCAAGCTATAAGTCTGAAAATGTCCCTATTTTTGGAGCTGTTTACACCAAAATAACTGTGAAATTTGTTAAAATGACAGGACAGAAAATCTTAGCAGAAGCTTTTGATTTTAAATGTGGTGATCAGAAAAGCTACCAGCAGCTTTAGGAGTTTAAGAATGAAATTGGAAAACTACTGTTAAATAATACGAAACAAATAGTGATGGATTAGTTCCTTATAAGAGTTTAAAATTTTATTAGGTGATTAATTATAAACATGATAATTTTATGTACAAAATTAAATAACTTTCAAAACTGACTAAACAATTTAATTTTAGCGTGAATTTACTTTTTAGTTTAGATATTTATTGTTAGTTGTTATTGTTGATTATTTTTATTAGTTACTCTTTTATTGATAAGTTTTGATTGTTAGTTATTTTCTTATTAATAAGTTTTGATTGTTAAATCGTTATCACACTTTGCAATATACAAATTAAGTAAACAATGAATTTAGTATTTAGTTTAGTTATTAATTATTAGAAAGATTGTTAATTATTTTCTTACTGATAAGTTTAAAATCGTTATCACACTTTGCAATATGCAAATTGCCGTATACTAAAGTCAGCTACTTAATAAACTCAAATATGTTTGGAATGGAAGTGATTCGAATAAGCAGCGGGTATTATAGTTGCTTTTGAGCAGACTATGAGTTAGTGGCATCACTGAAGAGCATAGCTTGTAGTATAGTAACCTTGGATGCAAGCACCTAGGATCGACTTTTTTACAGCGCTATAAACCAAATTCTAATAGATTATTATCTTAACTAGATCAAAAATTTTCTTTTATTATACGGTAAGAAATATTTTAATTTTAATTACGGGAGGGGAGAGGGCTTGTCCCCGAAGGACTATTGTTTTCGTTTTTTGGTTTGCGTTAAATCACTATAAATGTCCGTTTCACTTTTCAAACTGTTTCCACCAAATGTTAGAGTCATGCATTATATTTGAAGAAATTAAATAATGAAAACTCTACACAAATGTAGGTATATTTCTCGCATTGTGATAAAACAACGGTATATAGAGCCATCGAATTTTGAATGACATAATCCTCCTACGAATATGGGCATGTTGGAAGCCCAAATTTGGAATTTGTTTTATTATCAATTTTGTATTTTGTAAATCTTTAACGAATATTTGAGTAACAAACTCAACGATTTAAAAGCGAGAAATGGCAACAATCTACGGAGGGGGAGAAACTTTTTATCTCTATCGTGCGGAACTGTGAATCGGAAATTCTAAAGATAGGCTCATTTTAAAATTATTTTGCGACTTTGCTATAGAACTGAAATTTATGGTTTAAGTGCGAAGAACATTATATTTAATAAATAAAGGTAACACACAATACGTTAAAAAACGGTCCTTTGGACGTAATTTAAAATCTGAAACCTTTCAGACTTTTATTTATTTATTTATTTGGTCATCAGCACAGTTTCTAGCATAAACAGAGCTACTGAGCCATTAGTTTATCTACAGCTGTAAAACGATTCTATCTACAGCTGTAAAACGAATTTACATATTTTTTTACTCATTAACTTTTCGAAGAAAAAAAATTATTTGAAATAAGAAACTCACTTGTCCCATTATAAGGCATGTTTCTTTGTAGCTTCAAAAATTACTCAACCGTTTTCAACAAGATGTGATTAACGAAATTTGAAAATTTTGAAATCAGTTTCTTTTAAATTTGTAAATTTACCTAACAGAGAGTGATCGATAAAAAGCATGCAGATACAATTGCAAACCTCCGCAAGCAACTATAATATATATCAGGCAAAATATGATTTTCTCATAAGTTTCAATTTTATATCAGTATAGTTTCAATTTTATATCAGTTTATTTTCAATTTTAAATCAGTATTTTCTTCTTAAATGAAGTATGACAAATTAAGGTACTTGAAAATTTTACATTAGTAAGTTTTGAAGTTAATCATAAAAGCAATAAATTGCGTTGTCAAACACTAACATGATGTAAAGAAATTATACCTTTCTTAAGGCTCTGATGGCATTTTTGTGTTGATTTGTAAGAGTTGTGAGTCGAGGTTCTTCAGTTTCTTCTTCTGGAAAAAGAAAATTATTAAAAATGGAATAGTTTTCGTACTAGAAATATTACAATATAGTTTGATGCACCTATTTCAGCTTTGCACACGATCTTTACTTGCTGAAAAAACACAACAGCGATACAAGAAAATATAACTGTTTCTTTTATTACTAAAAGTTGAATAAAAGTGGTGAATCTTTTTATTAAATTATAATAACGTTTTATGTTTATATAAGAAACTAATTCTTTATGGCTATTAAAATATGTATGAAACCATGACCTGCAAAGTGATAGTTTGTCAATATATTCGGAATGAAAATAAATTATAGAGAAGTCTATTTTTAAAATAATTAGTCATACGTTTTGTTGCTCATTAGTTTGTTACATTTCATCAAAATCGGCATTACGTTTCTTGACTTTTGTTATATATTCCCCATTAATGTTTACTATGCTGACTCGAAAGATGAAAAAATGTAATCTTTCATTTACAAAAAAAAAAAAAAAAAAAAAAAAAAAAAAAAAAAATACTTTAGAACGATTTGTAAGATAATTAAATATGAGACAAAATGGCACTCATAACCTCTTGGAAGCTTGCCTTTTGTTTACTAATGTTGCATTACGATTTGATAGGCAGTTAAAGCTGTTTTTCATCTCAAAATTTTAGCGTATAAAAATAAGTATAACAGTGCTTAATCAGATTAAATTATTTAACACTATGTATTTTATACAGTTTCACAATTTTTAATTTAATTTAAACAGAACTAAGCTGTAAAATATTCCATTCATTTATTGGAGATGGAAGAATCACCTTCTTGCACATCTGTGTTTGATTTTTCTCCTTCTTTTTCAGCATAACCTTGATCTAGAACATAGCACTGTCTTTGCGCAAATCAGCCAGTTCCTTTATTTAAACTTAACTGAAATGCCACTAATTGCCAATTATATTCTAATCTTATACAGATAGAAAGTTTCCTGTAGGCTTTCAAGTTTTTCTCAAGGTTAATAGACAGGCTAGGTTAGGTTCTTTCCAATGTTAGAGTTCAGTGACGTCAATTCACTCACAGAAATAGGAGAAACGATAATGCAGCTTTGGAGCAGACGATGAGGCAGTGACGCCACACAAAGCGAAGCTGTCAAAGATTTCTGGTCGGGAACAGCAAGTCTTGTAGTATCCTTGGTTTTCCTGATTAATAAAAGCTTGCAGATCATCATTTGTTAATACGTATAACATTAAGGAATGTGTTTAACTGTGCTCTCATATACTTGTTACATTTGTCTATAGACAAAATGCATTTTTCGAACTTATGTTCTGCTAAAATCGAAAGTAAAACAAAATTAGCTCAAACTTTAACAAATTAGGAACTTTATATGCAGTACCTAACTGAGGATAGATTTAAGTCAGCATTATGTGACAATGAGTTTATTCAAAATAAATAAATAAAAAAAAATCTTTATGATTTAATTAAAAACTGAATCTTTTAATTGTTCATCCATATTACAATTATTCGTTATATATCTACTGAAATTAAATTCTATTCCAAGTCTAAACAAAGAAGTAAAAATGCAATATTTAATTTTAAATAAAATTCTAACTAAAATTGCTACTTAACATTCAGATTCAACTTTATTAATTAACTAGTGAATAGAAAAACATTCTATACAGGTAACAATTCTTACATTTTCAAAATGTCAAAGTTTCCTTTTAACTGGGCCCACCAGCATCCGAGCGGTAAAGTCGCTGAACACTGGCAGTTCGGTCCGAGGTTCGAATCCCGCGAACGGGCTGGCTGCATGGGCGTTTTCGTGGTTTTCTCCACGTGTAATGTGCATACGAGCCAGTTTTCCTTAGAAAGTCCTCCACAAAGGCATCCCTCCCCTTAGGCAGATAGCCCTAGTGTGCTTTGCCGTAATAATAACCAATAATCCAACAATGATTATAAGCCAACTGATTCCAGAAAATCGGAAAGCAAAATAAATGAAAATTATCATACCGCCTATACTAACAATAACGATTCAAAACTTGGAAACCTTTCTTTGAACAACAAAAAGAGCAAAAATAAGGGGTTGGCTTGGAATCGGATAAATACGGCAAGTCTACTTTATTTGCACTAAATTATTTATACTGCAAAGTAGCATTAAAATTTGATTGCTTGCGGCCTTCAAAATAAAAAATCATTAAGCAAAATTCTTTCGTAGAATAATGAAAATGAGTACAAATAATTAGAAAATAAAAAGTAGAAATGTATACAGACTTGCTATTGCAAGAAAGTGATTTTCGTTTTTTAAATGACTTATTAAGTCTTTAAATTTTTACTCAAACAAAATCTAAAATGCATGCTCTTTTGCTTTAGCATTACCATAAACATAAACATTACCATAAACATGACATCCTAGAGAAATGAGAAAGAGTGGCGGGGAAGCAAGAGTTGAATTTTCAGACATGAATGTAGAATAGATAGGAAAGTATTACGCTTTTCACCCTAAACCACTTTCGCCACAGGATGCCCATTACGCGCATATAATGGATCAGCATGGATCCAATGCTTACGTCATTCACTGTCTGTTAGCATCTCCAGTCTTTGACGCTGTTTAAATACGCAATTTGGTATACTGAAGTTTTTGATGTCATCATGAATGTTATAGAGACGCCATCTTAGTTGTACATATTAATTCCAGACGGCGTACACACATTCATTTAGATATCCATTATTTAAATACTAAGAATTATTATTCAAATACGAATTCTGACCTCTAAATGGTAAAAGTTACGAACGTTGCATAGGTTGATGCGAAGTTCTCATTCAAAAGATCAATTGTGAAGAAAGTGAAACTATAGATCCACGAAGTTTGCAAGTATTGTTCCTATAATTAGATAATTTAATCTGTTTATTATCAAACTTCACTGAGTGAAATATTTGCTGCTCAAAATTCATCTAATCAATATTCAGTTTCAATCTAATTATGCACCAAAACTGATTACAAAACGTTTTATTTGTCTAATTTATCCCTATTTTTAGTTTAAGAATGTTTGCTATTCCCAATATGACCTGGAAAATGAGGTGATGAGGCATAAGATAGTTCTACTAAAGCCACGCCTCAGAATATTTATCGGTCAAATTTTATACAAATGAGATATAGAAGAGGAATGGCAGAACTCATTCCAATAATAAAATAAAGAACATTTAAAATTTTAATAGTGATTTCTGTTAACTTCTTGCTCCTATTCTTCATATTTTCCATGCAGGTATATTTTGTTAATGTGTGAAAGATTTTCGACGACCTTGTGAATCGACCTTGTGAATGTACTCTATAAAAATTTTATTTTATCCGCATCTTGACTTTTTCTCTTCTTTCCTTTTTCTTTCTACCCCTTCTTCTTTCCAAATCTGTGAGATTTTTTGAATATAAAGGGTACCAGCAATCCCTAATCGTAGAACTACGATTTCTTCATTAATAGGGTACTACTGACGTGTTTGTAAAATTGACAGTCAAAATCAATTAAAATATTTCTTCGTAGTTGTTAAGTTTTATTGCATTTAAGATTAATTCAAAATAATAATACTCTTTTTGAAAAGTAAAAATTATTAAATAAATCTTAAAACTTGTCGACAGTAAGTATTTAATAAAAAGGATTTAAAAAGTACTAAGATTACATCAAACTATTTATTATTAATTATATCCTAGCAATGCATGATCAAAATATTGCAAGAAAAGTGACTATTCTATTATTGCAAAAGCAAAAGTGAGCAATGTTTTAAATACAGCATTCGAAAGTGTGGGAAAAAAACATGGCAAGTGAATTTTTCTAAGAATAAAATATATATAATTTCTACAGTGCATGAATGATTGAAGATCTAACATACATTATGAAAAAGAGCAAAAAGGACAAGCAATGGTATAAAAAAAGCCCGAAATTCTACCACTATATCATTCAATCAGCTAGATTTTACTAAATTCGGAGTAGCATGATACATGCAAACAATTACTGATCTAAGATTAAAATTGTGCAAGAAATGCGTGAAATGCTGTAAACTATTAATTTTCTATTTGTATGATGTGAGATTTTCACTTTCATTTAAGTAAACAAGTCTTACAGACGTTCTGACAAGGTAATGAAGGAAGACTGAAAACTCAAAACGACTGAAGATAAAATATTAAACGTATTTTAATAATTTTGTTAGCAATTAAACTTACAAAATAATGACGTCCTACAATAAAAGTTTAAAATTCTTTCTAGGCTGTTGAATTTTTATTAACCTTCAAAGCAAGAAGAACGTAATTAAAAGATGAAGACAAACATATCTGCCAGATATAATTTATAAAATGCGATCATACAATAATTTGTTGCTCTTCGTCTATAAAGTTTCTTGATCAAAAATGAAACTGGTGTTTAAAACCAAAAAAGTAGTATTTTTTTCGATGAGAAAGAAAACATACGAAAAGCAAAAGAAATCAGTTTTCCATAGGATCCAAAAATTAAATGATTTCAAATTTTACTTTTAATCTCCTAATGTGAAATTTGATATGTTGCAGAATTCTTTAAAAACATCTGATAGTTCAGTATAACTAAAACTGCAAAATCTAGCTTCAAATAAAATATGCAACTTCTAAACTGAAAAAAAAAAATTAAACATTAATAATAATTATACAAAATGACTAAAACTATAAGCATAACTTCGAAGCGTTTTTAATGATTTTTCAAACATAATACCTAAATTCTGGTAACAAGCATAATAAATGCTTCTCCTACAGATAAAGTAACTTATCTACAAATAAAAACTCTAAACACAAAATGATCGATAATTTCAGCCGTTAGGAAATTATAAACAGCGAGCTATTTGAAGAATTTAAAGCTTTCTTCGTCTTAGAAGCTACCGTTTATAATATGACACTTATTCTTGGTATGCCATAATGTACTTTTTAATACTAAAAACAATGTAATTCATTTTCTGGAAAACATTTTTACGTTTAATATGTTGTGAATTTTATCAATCTCAAACTAATCGTTTTTAATTTCGACATCTAAAGGGTATTATAAACTGGAATAAAAGACGAGTTAATACGAAACAATATTTGAAATTATCAGGTAAAATTGAAAAAAAAAATTGAACATAATGTCTACATGTTAACATTCTTTAGCTGCAGATGTGAAAATGTAATAAAGGTGAAGTGCATTATTGGAAAATTAGAATAAAAGTCTAAAAATCTGGTGGTGTACTTGTATAAAAATGTCTTACCAATACATACAGGTACCTTTCGTACTTTTCGGATGATTATTTCACACCAGGTTTTTCGTGGGTTCACTGCCCAAGAGAAAACGCCGTCAAGTTCTAAGTTACATTCATTTTTTAATTACCTTCATTATTTATAACCATGATAATACCATTTTCTATTTTTATTAAGAATAACACTTCTTTAAGAACGTCATTTCTTAGCGGAAACTGAGCTGAATGAATCGCCTTGATTAAAAAACGCTGCTATTTTTATTGCGACAATAAATACAGTTGCCCAGATAATTATTGCAGAATTTAAGCAATAAATCTATTTACAAAGAGTTAGATGTCACGCATATTTTTATTACAAACTATATTTTAAAATCAATATTATTTTATTGAAAAATATTAGCTATAAAGCAATTTTTAACATATGTAATATATATTTTCACAACCTTTAACTTTTACTCCCACTGGATGTAAATTTCCTTGAACTTTTGATATATAAATAAAAACGATTTATCATTATAAATCAAGAATCTGCTAAAATAATTAAATGTGAGAACATATTCACTGCAGGAACAAAAAGTCACCAGATACCTCATCAGAATCAAATTTCGCTAGTCTGTTCCTACTTCTGCATTTGTCTGTTCCTACTTCTGCATTTTATTTTCGAAATGCGCAAAAGCCAGTTTTTGGCTTTCTTTCATCATGTCACTTTATGAATTTATCTCGAAGATGGAAATCTATGAAAGAATGTGCTTTCAAAAGGACACGATTACGGGTTCATAGTATTAGTAGTTTACCTATCAAATCCGTTTGACCCAAGAAATGTTAAACACGTTTTAAACATTTTTCGTGCTATGGATTTGTATATTGCAGAAGGAATGGTATATATTTACTGCAAAAATGTATGGGTAAACAAAAAATGAAGGATGTCGCTATCTAAAGAGAAAAATGACATATACCTGGGTTGCTATAGCAAAAAAGCTGAGAATACAGGAGAGTAATATAATTGGAATTTCTAAATGCACAAGCACTATTAACACAGTAATTCATTATAGTGGGTTTCCATATAATGAAGGTATGATTGTGTGTAAGTATTACATAACGTCTTAAATGCTGTTCCCACGGTGCAAAGACAATCTTCTTTTCAGCATTAGAGCAGTAGAAACATTTCCTATGGACTGCATAAGGGTGAAGTTAAAACTAGCAACAGTGTGGAGCTTGTTTTGGATGTGACAAGAACTGCCTATTGTGCACAGTGGACACAAGTGTTAACGAGGAAATGTACCTGGACATTCTCAATAATCCCACCCCTCTCTCTATGTAATAATATCATGGCAATGAGACCTATTGGTATCAGCACAACAATGTTTCTAGTCACATAGTAATATGAAGCATGGAGATAATCCATATGATATTTCTACTGGCCCTTAACTCCGCCCGAAAAATTACATATGAGGGATGAGGTAACAACATAAGAATGTCTGTATATGCTAAAAGGTAAATATCATTCATGAGGTTATAGATAGAATGGATGTAGTCTTTATTGTGGTATAATATGTGGTCTTTATTATGGCCGAAGGTGAGTGGAAAGTATATTGCCATTATGCAAATAAATATTTTCCCCCCTTATTTTAGGCATCCAGTGACTTTTGTTCAAATAATATTTAAGTTAAACTTAAATCAACAAGAAAATAAAAGAAAAAAATAAATATAAAGAAGAGTAATAATTAAAAAATGAAAATATTTGGGAAAGCATCATGAAAATGAAATAAAATATAGACTCATTACATAAGATGTTCTACCGCACTGCTATGATGAGAGGTGTGATCAGCTCTTTCCTGCAGCTAACATATGGAGCTTAATATTTTGTTTCAAACTACACAGTTACTGAACAAGCTAATTTTATATAATATACCAACATTCTATTATAAGTAATCTGACAAAGTCTCTCTCTAACTCTCTCTCTATATGCTATATATATATGTATATTAACATGAACATTTGTACAACCATTATTCACTCAGCTAAAAATTATCATGTATTCAAGCATTAGTATAAAACATTAGTCTTAATTTATTGATACTGAAATAAATAAAGTGCGTTAATTATATTCTAAATTCGAATAGTCAAAATGCACTAATGAGAAGAAATACATACTTTATAACAAACTCATATTTAATAAATAGTATAACGACTTTCGCATGTAAAAAATTCAGTAAAAGAACTAGTTAAATGTTTTCCTAAAGAACTTTTGGCTCTTTTTTATACTGCGTAACACTAACTAACTAACTAACTTTTTTATACTGCGGATTATTTAAATACGGATGGAATTCGAGTTCAATTGCTTCATTTAAAAATATGACTCTCTTATGAATTTCATTTTAACAACCCTTAAGAAAGAAAACTTCCACAATGAAATTGAGGGTATGCTTTAATAACACAAAACTATAAAGACAGAATGTCAACTTACTTTCCCCCCAAAAAAATTAACTACAATTGAAAGCAAAATAGAATTAGTATCTGAAACCACATATAGATGGCAGCACCAAATATTATTCCTCATTAAACGGTTGCTGTTTCTTATGAATATTCAGTGGATTAGCAGCAAGTAGAGCTATCGACTTCAGGTGACAACAACACTAACAATTATTTTACAATAATTATAATAATAAAAATATAATTACTTTATCGTTATAAAATAATTGCCAAATCTGTTGAAACCAGATCTATTCTGACTCAATATTTCCCTATACCATGCATGTTGGAACGAGATTTTAGCATTTTAAACTAAAATTAAGAGATCTTAAAACATAACGTTTACGATTGCTGAAAATGGTAACTCACGACTTCTGGTAAAGATCTTAAATCTAGTACTTAGATCTAGTACTGCGAACGTAATAATTTTCCTCCAAATTTGCGAATCCCGTTGTTTTATTGTTAGTATACACAATATTGCCATTAAACAGAGGGTACCTATGAAACTAAAATAACATAACTTGTATGTCACCTGTATACATCATGATCCAGAAAAAGATTGTGAGTGCATAACATACGTGTGCACTAGCTAATGTCCTCGAAATGAATGCCCGACGAGAGCTGAATTAAGTTCAAACTGACGTGAATTAAGTTCACTGGCCCTCTCTGATTTGATCAACTTCTCTATGAGATTTCTGATAGAATATAGAGGCTGCGTATGACAACGAATGATCTTATATTAGAAAAGAAGAAAATGTATGCCGTGGACACAGTCACGGCAGTTAAAAGATTTTAGTTCCCTTCGTGCATTCGACGAGTTAACATAGACATGGTGTAGTCAAAAACATTTAGTTCCTTCGATGTGCTCCTCACTAGATCAAAAAATTATTAGAGATAAATAACTGGGACTGAGTAGTTTGCATTTGAATTCTAGAGGCAAACTGAAGCCCATAAGCCATCAATGACGATGCCAATCAACAGATTTATGTAAAGCTTATACCAGTAAGACAATATACATCTTGTTGAATGATAGGAATTATGATGCATGTTGTGGAGATCCAAAAGACGTGTTAACAAGGCGATTGCCAGAGAAATGCAACTTACAGGAAAATATTGGTTTTGGTGTGAAAGAAGATAGAGAAAGAATTTTCATGAGGATGTTTTCTTGTTTGTTTCGTACTCAAAATCCTAAAGGCTGACGGTTAATACAGGACAATTCTTTGCTGTCTTCTTTGTAGCAACAGCTTGGAACTTGCTTAATTTTTAACATAATCATGCACCCATTCATAAAACAAAGATTGTAGTTGAGCGATTTGGCTGAATGGAAGTGAAAGAATCTTACTTGGCGGCGTAAAGCACTGTTCTAAACTCACTTGAGAGTTTTATAATGAACTGAAGCGTTTTTTACGAGCCGGGCTACCTGCTTCCAAACTATTATGGAACTGCTTACAGAATTAAGGAGTGAAATACTTAATTCTGTAATGATAATTAATTGAAAATCTTCCTCTGAAGGTAGAGACTATGATAGCGGTAAAAGGAAAAACCGACACTGTGTTAAGAGTACTTAAGCTTCAAATAAACATATTTCTATGGGTTTCCTGTCACTATTGGCAATATAATGTACCATTTTTACTACCGTTTCTATAAGGCTATTAGTACTATATTTTTACCTGAACTATCTATTAGCATAAATGCGAAATAATGTTTATTTAAATTTTATTAAAGGGAACTTAAAAGAGTATATTATATAAAAATTTAAATAAGGAAAAGCGACCCGAAATGTTTGAGAATAACTGAATCATCGAAAATTTTTCAATAAAACACTTTTATGATTACAAAAGGAAATTATTAGGAAAAATAAATCGAATACAAATATTTAATTTTTTCCCAAGATAGCTATTTACAAAAATGTGTTAAATTGCTATATAAATTTAATAGCTAAATTATATAATTTGTTGTTACATCAACCTGAAAAAGAATATTCTGTAAAAGAAATGAGCATTATTTAACTGATATACTCATAGTACCCCCCCCCCCCCCAAAAAAAAAAAAAAAAAGCATATACTCATTAGAATGCATAGACAATTTAAGTGTTAAATAGATTTTTTACACTAGTTAGTACTAATGTTAAAAGGAATTACCGTCAGAATTTCGTTTGGAAGTTTCCGAAATATCCTTCGAAACGGAATCTTCGGAAACGCTTGGACGAATTCGGCCACTTAGGTTGTCAGATGACGTGTTAACATCACTGCAACGGCTTCTCGTCATTGGGGAATGGGTGAAAGGTGGGCGGTGACGCCTGATTGTGGAAAACCGACTCACAAAGGACGCGTTATGCTTAAAACTGTAAAACATTAGAAGGGAAGTAATGTTAAATATATAACAATATCCATATAAAGCAGTATTGTTGAAAAGTAAATGAAAATTCTTTTGAAATAACTGATTTGACAATATATTTCTAAAATGCTAAAGTTTATCTATTTTTAAAGTCTATTCTCAATAAATAGTGGTGGTGTTTTTTTTCCCCCTGTAATCTAACCAGCTATAAGGCTTTGAGCACATAGTTCGTAATAAAAAAAAAAAAAAAAAAAAAAAAAAAAAAAAAAAAAAAAAAAAAATTCAGCTGCTTACATTAATTGACATTAGAATGTTACTTCTTAACATCTTCTTTTAATATTAGCTCTATAGAATGGTACCTGAATACTCACTAACCAGAGTATGTTTTATAGGAGGTATGCCTATTCATCTTATGAGTTGATTTCTACGATTTACCACGTATTTCCAAAAGTGAAACTACAAAGGCACTTAATAACGGTTTTTATTTTTTAAAAAGAACACAAACATTTCTTTTTATGTGAGAAAGTTTCTTTAATTTCTTAAAATATAATGCTTAAACTGTTAATGACTGGTCAGATATTTCAGATGAAAATTTTACTATCATTCAAAAGATCTAATTTAGATTTGGTACAGATTTAGCTCATAGACTATTAAATACTGATAATTCAATCCTTACTTGCATTTGTTTGAAAAACTAAAATGATATTCACACGTATCACAATAGATTGAGTTAGTTGAATAGTGTTCAATAACTGTTAAATTGTATTACATGTGAAACACTAAAACAGCCTTGAACTATAGATTACCAATATAGTAAGAAAATGCCAAATTTATTTAACAGACTTGATTTCACTATTAATGATAGCAAATCGCAAGTATTTATATTTTCTTGAGGTTAGATATGACTGGCACTACTCTTGGTCGTTAAAGTTAGAATATTTTATTAAAGTATATATAGGACTACAAATGTGTCAGTTGATGTTCTAAAAACTAGTTAATTTTTAATGCCCCAATTTGGTAATTTTTTAAAATCAGATATGAAGATTGTTTAACACTTAAGTAGCAAAAGTTTATGCATTTTTCTGTTAACGATTTCCAACATTAGTTAAAGTTTCCAGATAAAATAGTGCCCTTATTACCAAACTCGTATGATTTTTGTTTCCGTCAATGCAATAAATCCGTGCTTTCGAAACTGCATGAGAGCAAAATTTATAACATGCATTTCATCTTCCGCTAATCAATACAGGAAGTATTTTAATTTTGATGAAATCCGAAAGAGGTATTTGCTTTGTTACAATTCGCTTTCTATCCAGTTTTTTAATAAAACTCTATCACTATTACGATCCTCAGTGCTGCCGCATATATGACCAGATACTTAACTTTAGAAAGTTCATTTCTTGAAAATGATATTTCTAATTTTAGAACTCGGACATAGATGTAGTATGTATCTCACATTCATGTGCTCAAACTGCATAATTAAAACTAAGCAGATAATTTTCACCCCTTAAGCACGTATAATGAATACTTACAAACTAACACCTAAAATTTAACGCTACAAAATGCATTTCTTGCTCAAAATGATATTTCTCGTTTACATATTTGAATAAAAATGAAATAAATACTCATATGTGTTTTATATTTCTCAAATAAAAATAAAGAAAATTTATTTATTAAAATAAATTTTATTTAAAGAATTAACTTTATTTAAAGAATTTTAATAAAGAAACTTTATTTTAATACGTAAAATACCAATATTTACAGCATTCACAACCGTTTGATGAATTTTAGTTACAATTGAAGCGTATTAACTAATAAGTAAATTTCAATTAAAAATAATAATAAGAGGAGGTATATAGGAAATTAAAGCTTAAAATTCTCAAACTATTAAGTTTGTGTTGTAATTAATAAAAATGAACTTTAAAGAAATATATAAATGGACAAAATGGGTAATATTAAATAAAACAAAAGATAGTGAAGTTTGAAGTAGATTTATACTCTAAGTGATTTCCCAAAACTAAATTTATGATTCTAACGACAATGACAACAATAACCAGTGTCCTGAAAACAAACTTTCCCACCTTCAATTTCTACCTACGTGCAATTGCCGTGAAAATGCAACTCTCTTTTTTCATGTTTGCAGCATCTCGCTCATGAAACATCTATCCAAACAAGCGAAAATACACTTAGGTTCAGTGACGTTATTCTTGTGGTCAAACATGTTTCATTTTTTTATACCGCTGATCTGGCAACTTGATGGTATTGAAGAAGATAATGAGCAGTGAATTTTTTCTCCATTCTCACTAGGGAAGATGAATCCAAAGGAAGATCCTCTAAATTGATCGATCGTGAAGTTTTCTATACCCTATGGTATTACTGCACTTTTTCCGCGGAGCTCAATTTTGAGCCATGGGTAAGTTGTATACAAAGCTTTTTTGTGTATAACCCTTTAAGAGTTTTTCCTTTTAAGCCGGAATTCTTAGAACATGAACTATTTGTTTACTGACTGCTTGGAAGAGTGAGTTTTAAAGGTATGTAATAGAGGAAGTCACTTTAGATTTACCAGTAATTTAATAATATAAGTATTTTGAATAAAAATGGAAGTATTGAAAAATTCATATTGTGTGAATATTTGCTAATTAGTTCCATTAAATCCACATACATTCATATTTTTCCAAACGGATTCAATAATTATAACAGAATTTTCTAAAGAAACCTAAATTTCACAGATAAGATTTTTATTTTTTAGATGCTTTTAACTGCCATCAAGTTTTAAATATTAAAATAGATTAGAATAAAAGAGAGAGGAAAGGAAATTAGAAATGTTAAGAATAAAACAATGCTGAATTTAAGATATGTAAAGTGTAATATTAAAAATATGTAATATGCAATATTAGAAATGTAATGATTTAAGGCGATTTCTAAACTGTGCGAGAAAGAATAATAAGTCCAATCATTTCAAATTATTCGAATTAATAAATACTGGTAAGGCATCCTAAGTTCCTTTGAAATATTTTATTTAAATCATTGCAAGTAACGACAAAAAGCGGCTAAATATAGTAGCAGAATTTATCAAATATTTTTAATATTATTTACATTGACAGTGTGAAACATGAACATAAGCTTATCCGAGGAAAACGACTTTGCATAAATACCATATTAAGCATGATACAGGAAGTAATAATAGAAGAAACCATGTTTAACCGCTATGAAATGAACAAATGTGCAACATCATGCCATTTAAGATACATCTTTAAATGCTTTTATTTGATGCAGATGAATAGTTTCTTTCTAATAATCATAATTTAATATAAAGTACTAGAAAGGATATTATCCAAAATATGATAGCAAATGCTCTTTTAAAATACTCAAAAAAAGATTAGAACTAAAAATACTGAAATAAAAAGATGTAGCAAAGCATAATGAAAAGCATACACCAGGAAAATATTAGTACAAGATATACTAGAGATAATTACGATTTTTGATACTGGATGAAAAATGATTTAAGGTAACATGAGTATGTTTTAAAGGTATCAAGAATTATACGTTTCAAAAAGTACGGAAAGCGTTTGAAAGTGAAATGATTACAACTTGATCCGTCTGAAGCAGCGAATAAGAAAGAAAATGTTATTATTCATGCACGCAGGAATACATCACAAATGCAAGTACATATACAAGCTACGCTAGATCCGAGCTGAAAAGAAGTACAGGGTAAATTTTACTAAAGTTAACTATATAAAATTGAGAAATAGCAATACAAATGTAGGTATGACGCTAATGGATACTATATCAGGGAGGGAAAGAGAAGCTTGTTTTAAATTTAATTAAAAATACTTTGAAACCAAATTAGGATTTTAAATCTAATACTAAGGAAACGTTCTATTCATGCGAGGTATAGAGTTAAAGGTAGTTGTATATAAGGCTAGGTAACAGACGTCACTTTCCTTTAATCTCCTCTGAGAATTAAAATTCAAGATTAAAAATCAATTGAGAATGGCAAATGGGTTTTATAGTATATGAACGAGATTTTATTTAACTTGTTTTTAACAGGAAAATATTTTTAGTGCAAGAAAGAATAATGTGAAGTACTAGAAAAATATGTGTTTAAGGGCTGTAAAGTAAATATAAATTCCGTAGAAAGATTTATTGTTGTTAAATATAATGTGCAGCAGCTTTCATATTATTGCAATAGCTCTGTTACCTTCAGAAATTAAAAATTCAGAAATTCAGCTTTAAATAGCTCTATTATCTTCAGAAATACCGCTTAAGAATTTGGCAGTATGGGGATATACAGGGTGTCCATAATTAAACTTGAAATTTGCGAGCAATCTTTAGCAAAAACTATGCAGCAGAATTGCATGAAAATTGGGTAATGGCAGAATGAAATGATGGGAATTTTATCAAGAGAAAAAAAATTGAGTTTCAAAAACCACCACTAGATGGCGTTGTGCAATGTAAACTACCGGCATACGCAAATGTGGTAACCATTGTAATTCTGTGCGCGCACAGCAACCCTATAATGATGAAAGAGGCGAACCGCAGTCATACTCGTTTCCAAGTCAAGGAAGATGACGTTAACGTTCCAGGAACGTGCTTTACTGGTGAAATTGTTTTACCAAAGCGGTGACTTTGCTACCGAAACTTTGCAGAAATTTCGGTCTTTGAAGCGGTTACGAGAAGTCCACTTACTAGTCAAGGACTAACAAACATGATTAGGATATTTGAAGTAATGGGGACATTGGGGATTCAGCCAGGAAGGGACGAATGTGTGTTGCAGCACAGGTAGTGGATAATGTAGCGGCGCAAGTGGAGGAAGACAGGTCGCAGGTCTTACGCTACTATCCCTATAAACTGCCGCTAGTGAAGTAGCTCTTACCAGCTGATCTGGATAGTCGACAAACTTTTGTGTTGCGGTTTCTTGCGCGAGTTGAGCTCCAGGATGAATGGCCATGGAACATTTTGTGGACCGACGAGGCCCACAGTCATATGGAAGTTGCGGTTAACACGCACAATTGCTGTATTTGAGCTGCTACGAACCCATATCAATTCCTACAAATTCCATTACACTCTTCGCATGTAACGGTTTGGTGCGGCTTTACTGCAATCTTCATTGCGGGTCCGTTTTTCTGAAGAGCACAGCATCGCAGGGCCTGTGACATGCACCGTCCACGATCAACGATGCGCTTCATTATTAGAGCAATCCGTTACTCCGGCTCTTCAGGCAAAGCGATGTCATATAACCACAGTGTCTATGGAAGTTGATGTTCCCCCACACATCGCCTGTTATGTGGAACAAGTGCTCCGACGCCATTTCGTGATGACAGAATCATCAGCCGTTAATTTCCTACAACTTGGCCTCCAAAATCCCTCGACTTGAATCCTTGCGACTTTTGGCTGTGGGGATACCTCAAGGCCATGGTCTTACGTGATCCCATTACATCTCTATCCGACAAGAAAGCATAGAACGCCATGTGTGTAACATTCCCGAGTTCATGCTGCTTTCAACAGTCGAACATGCGATTTTACGCTTCCAGATGGTAGCAGACAATGGTGGACATCATACTGAGCATGTTTTGAAACTTTTGTGGATTATTTATACGTTCTCAATAAAGCTATGATATGCCACATAGGGGTGGTTTTTGAAACTCATTGTTTTTCCCCCTCGATAAAATTCTCATGATTTCATTCTGTCTTTACTCAATTTTCATGCAATTCCGCTGTATAGGTTTTGCTACAGACTGCTCGCAAATTTCAAGTTTAATTATGGACACTGTGTATATTGTGATTTTTAAATATGATGTGAAGCTGGTGAATATTCACGGATTTTTGATATCTTTAATTTTTAACAGATAGATAAGTTAAAATTTTCAGATTATTGGTTTTAATTTCCGAATTTGTTATTTAAAGTTAAACCTTCTGACAAAAAGCTTTTTTTCTTATAAGCAAGAACTTTCACATTTTTAACTCAAATTAAAAAAATTAATTTAACTCAAATCAAAAAATTTAATAATTCATTATTAAAATTTTAAATTTAAGAGTAGTTAATTAATAGAGAAAATTTAATGCTTTACATCATTTACATTTTTTGAGCCAATAATGATGCATTTTGGAATGAAAAGGATATTGCGATTTATGAAATTAATGGAAACTGAACTATGGTTACCACAAAATTAATAGGTTTTCCAAATCAGAGCAGTAAGAAGTTTTTCTTAATAGTTGCACTTACTTGGAAAATTAGAGGGAAATATAAAATCTAAGTTTGTATGTTTCTAAGTATCGAAAAGTAAATAAAATGAATAAGGTATAAAAATTTGTAATTTATGTTATTATACTATTAATTATAATTTTTGTTTTTGCTATTATACTATATATTTAGAAACATGAAGCATTTGTGCCCTTCTACAAGTTTGTAAAAATTAGTGATGCGTTACACAAATTAACATTAAAATGTATATCAAAATTTTGAATAGTAACGTACGATTTACAAATCATGCTTGGTTTCGATTATGCAACATGCAGTTTGGACGAGGGGACTAAATTATCAGAAATAATTAATTAGGGAAAGTGACTGCTTAATTATTGCTCTGACTCTAGGAACTACTGACGCCCTCTAGCGGGCAGCTCGGCCATTTTGAGAAATACTTACAGGCTGCCACCAGTGGGCGCAACATCCTGTCTATCTTTTCGTTTCGGGTTGTTGAACGAACCTGTAGGGAAGCTAGAAAGAGAGAAACAGAGAAAAGAAAGACAGAAGAAAAATAAGTGGTTGAACAAAACTGAGAGAGTAAAAAATGAATGATAGGGCAGAAAATGCTTATTTAAATAAATAGTTCTGTCTAAATGATTTTTATTTTGCACAGTTAAAATTCAACACAAAAGGAAAAGTGTATAAGTTATGTTTCTTTCTCACTATCATACTGGAAAATTTGGCCATGAATATTATGATTGCTTTCATGCGAATTTAAATATATTCCTAAGTTCTATTTATGATAGGAAATAAAGTGCAATTTTATTTATATTTTTATTTTAGGCCAAGCTTATGACCAAGTGACATTATAATACGTATTAAAAAAAACTGGTTAAGCTCAATTTTCTACAATCTAGTTGTTCACTCTTACGCTAGAGGGCTTCTAAATTTATTTTTCATTGTCCTCTTTGCAACCGTTCATTCATTCGTTCTTCCGCTTCCTTACCGCACTATACCTTGTTACCTTGTACTGATCGTACTTTACCAGATCAGCCATATCGATGAAAACATAGCTGCTTCTTCGGATTGCAGTAAACAATTAATAGCAAGTATTTGTGTGTGTTGGTTACTATTGTGACAGAGTTTCTATTGTAAATTATACTGAAAAGATGTACATCTACATTAGTGTTAACATATATTTAGAAACTTTACATGAAAAAGGGTTAATCAATTATTAAACCCTAATTTATCATTACATTGGCGATTCGCTGTCATTACACTTATTTATTTGGCACTCAGTAGACTACACCATTTCGAGATACCTTTCAGTAGGCTACCTTTTCGAGATTTCATTAAAGTACTTTGTGGTGTATTTTGTGCCAATTTCTTGTGCAGTTTTAAACAATATAACGTACTTTGTTTTAATAATGTTATGTTTCTGAATGATTCGATTCATTCAGACATGTAAAAAAGAACTAATGGTTTAAATTCACGAAAAATATTTTATAGAATGCAGCTCATAGAAAAACGGTTATACTCACGTTGGGGGCGATGGCAGAGGCACCTGGTGAATCTTCCAGGTAGCGACGGACATTGAATTGTGATCGGAGGCGTAGCACCTCCACAGGCACTGGATGAGTGTGGCAGCAGGGACCCTCCTCCTGATCATGTGCTTCTGGCGCTGCTGTTGCTGAACCTTCAGAGCAAATCCTGATCCTAAGATGCCCTAAGAACAGATAACGAAGGTATTAGACATTTCAGATGCTATGAAGGATGAGATTCTAAATGTGCTACTGTAAGAATATTTAATTACGCTCTTTTTTATTAGCAAATGTCATAATTGCATATTTAGCTGAAACCCATAAAAGTTAATGGATTTAACCGCAGATGATAAAAATGATTTTATAATATTTTGATAATCTAAAGAACATCGTTACTTTTATGCAGTGCAAAAATATGTCCAGCAATTAAAAAAAATTGTAGGAAAAATTTAAAAACTGCTTAATCATATCTGTCTCCTAGCAATCAATATATGGGTGAATAATTAAAGCACTCTTGGGAAGAATTAAACTAGGTGAACCATAAAACTCCTCTGGAATTCAATTAAATCAGAATAATCGTAATCTGGAGCAGAAATACTGGTATTGGATGAAGATTCAAAGGATAAGGACGGAAGTTATATACTAAAGTCCCTTATTTACCATTGATAAAGCTTGATTAAGGCAAACATATTTCAATATTAAGTACAAAAAAAAGTAAACAATTAAGAAAATTATAAGAAATAACCCCTATTCGCATCCAAAATAATTCTCATTTTAAATGTTTGTGCATTTATAACATCATAAATATATCTGATAAAACTTAGCTCTTGTTTTGTGTGAATTACGGTTCAATACATTTTCAGAGACAAATGAAAGTTCTTGGATTGTCAGGAGCAAATATGGTTTAAACTATTATTCACATTATTCCATACTAAATATTTTTAATCATTTTGTACAAGTCTTTGGTAGTCCACTCTGTTGAATTCTGCATACAATCTATAAGGTATTTCTCCCGCCTTCTTAACATGCTTTCGTGGTGTAATGGTTACCGCGCTCGACGCGTATTCTAGAGGCCCGTGGTTCGAGTCGCGGCGAGGGCAATGCTCAATTCCGATCTCTCCTACTTCCAAATAACCTAATGTTTCGACAAATGTTTGTGTTTCATGAACTGTAGAATTTCGTAAATAATTTTGCTTCTAAGGCCTTTTTTCATACTTATTTTAATTTTAATTACCACAAAAACATTAATTTTAGTTAAAGAAAATTCTTATTTAAGATGCAGGGTAAAAAGAATGAAACCTAAATATTTATTATTGAATTTCTTCCTTTGGTGGTATGAGAAATAATGTAATTTTCTAAAAATTAAAACAAGCTTTTAACTGTCACGTTAAATGACATGAATTAAACAGTTCATATTTATATTGCCATTGTTAAGACTCCGCCGTGTTTACAAAGATCATTTATAATACAGAGGCTGTTCGCACATTTTTTAGACGATTTTGGTAAGCGGTAATCAAAAATCGTTTGCTGCAAAAGAAGTAATTGCAATTGAACTATGTTTTAAAAGTCAAAATTATCGTCTCTGGCTTGAAAGTTTTGTTTTTATTCAAAATGGCGAATTTAACAAAGCAGTGATTCGAAGGCTACATTTACGCTTTTTCCGAAGAGAAATATGCATACTCCGTTATCCAAAAACGATGTGCGAGTCATGGTTTTGTGATAAAGCGTCGATAGGTAATGTCATCAACAAAAAAAGGAAAAAAAAAAAAAAAAAAAAAACGTCAAATTGGAGCCTCAAGTGGAACAAAAATTACAAACAAGTATCCAAGGAAAAAACTGACATTTTCGACTATTGCAAAGGTACGTTGTTTAATGCTAAAAGAAAATCCCCCTAGTCAAAGGACAGTTGCAAAATCATTAAAATGCTCGGTGTCCACTGTAAACAAAATGGTAAACGTTGATTTAAATCTTAAGAAAGCGAAAAAACGCAATGTGCATCGTCTTCTTCCAAAGCATATCGCTCGACGCAGGACACGCTGCAGAATTCTATATGAGAAACACTTATCCAAGAAAAAATGGAAAACAATGTCACAATAGATGAAGCATGGGTGTATTTTAAATGACTGTAACAAAAAAGAGCCATTTATACATAAAAGGGGAGGAAAAAATTTAAACACATGGTTCAAAGAATCGAAAGAAAGTTTTTTCTAAGGGATTCATGATTGGGCTTGTTTTCTTAATGGCAAAAAATAAAGGCAAGTGCAAAAAAAGTCAAGATGAAAAAAATGTCTTCAAGATTAACTTCAAATACTATCAAGAACATATTTTATCTCCAATTTTTCTGAAGGAAATACCATCGCTTTATCCCACAGTGCCATTAATCTGTGAGACTCCATCAGGACAAAGCTAGCAGTCATACATCAAAGTCCAAAATCCACTGAAAATTTCCTAAAAGAAATGGAACAAAAAACTGGTATTAAGGCCATACCCTTCACTAACATCCCTACTAAATCTCCCAATGTGTCACCTATTGGATTTTGTGCTTTCGGACTTTTAAAAATTGCATTATCCAAACGTTGTTCCCAAACCTTAACAGAACTCTGGAAAGCTGTTCGGGAGGAATGGGATAGAAAATATATCTCTGCCACTTCAAAAGGCATTATTATCCTGGAAGTTGCGGTGTCGAAAGATAGTTCGAATAAGGGATGTCAAATAGAACATTTAAAACACAAGAATTTTATGTAATTTAGTTTTGTGAATACAATATACATCGTCTAAAAAATGTGCGAACAGCCTCTGTATTTCCTTTTTGAAAACTTCATTTTATACCTTTTTTACGTGTATATGTAGATGAAGTAATTTAATTATATAAAGCTATGATACATTAACATAATACATACAAAGTTTCAACTGAAATTCATACCATATTCAGAATTTACAGGAAAATAAGAAGACTGGCGCAACTTTACATTGAATGACAATTTTATGAGCTGGAATTCAGATCTTTCCCACTTACAAAACTTTGGCAATAGTGCAATACAGCTGCTTCGAGTTTCAAGAGTACTTATATCTAAAAATCAAACATAATCTATTTTTAAATTTCCCCAACGCAGGCGCTCACAGCAGTAAACTGAAAGGGGCTTAAGAAGTTTCCAAAAGTTGCACAGTGCTGTTAGTACTCAGCACTATTCTGCTGCCAACAGGGAAATTTGATTCATATTTGACAGAACACTTGTGCAGACTCCTACATAAACAACTTAACATTCAGAAATGGATGGGAACATTCTTAAATATATCTCAGCAGTGTATTCTCGGAAAGCAAGAACTGTAAGTAAGCTTAATTTATTACTAATTTTCACACATCGCGTTTATTATTGTAATATTGCACTTAGAATTTTATTTTTCGACTTGTAAGTTCGAAAAATAAAAATTGTTTAATTGTTTAATTGCTGGACTTTAAGACTTGTAAGTTTCTAAATTATTCTCAGTTTGCAGTTTTACAAATTTCTATGTATCAAACCTTTAAATGGTTTCCCATAAAAATCCTCTACCTTATTTTCCTTCTTATTAGAAACTACATTTTTAGTAGGTAATAATGACATATAGGATACTAATATATGAAAGAGAACATAATGCCACTTAGAAGTTATAGAAATAGTCAAATTAAAAGATATCTCGCTCATACTGTCGTGTAAGTACCACGCGTTAATTACTGTCAGGCTTCATATAACATTTGTTTCCCGTAAAAAGTTACGTATCTTATTTTATTCATTGTCGGAAGCTAAACTTTATACCAGTTATTGATACCGTATGTATACTAATACAAAAGAAGAGAATATACGTCCCCTAAGGATTTAAAAAGTCGTAGAATAAAACATATGTACGATGTCCATTTACAATAAAAAATATTTTTCTCATCTTCATTAATTCTAATATCTTCAAATTTTAGAAAATATTGAAGCTTGACAAGTTGCTAATATGCGATAAGAGATTGTGACGATATATAGCTTTAAAATAAACTGTACAAATGGTAAAATTAGTGTTCCATGACATGAATTTAAAATTAAAATTTGTTTTTTATTATACTGATTAATGTCAAAGTTTAAAATTTGGAAAATAGTGAAGTTGTGTACGAGGATCAGATGCTACTTACCAGTTTAGAAATAAATGAATTAAAGTGTTCTATGATACTAATTTACAATAAACTGATGATTATCCATATTTTCAGGAAAAGCAAGACTTATTGGTTAAAAAAGTAAATTGATCATACTGTAGTGTGCAGGAAAATGTTGCGATATCAGTTTAGCCTTTATGACTGACGACATCATTAAATTGCGCCCACTTCAAGACTTAAATCACATTCTAAGACCATATCGCGAACTTTTACTAAAGTTATATTAAATGAAATCTTTATTTTCTATAAAATGCTCAGATTTTATTTCCAATTTTAACATTTCTATAGGATAATGATCTTTCGAAATCATTTAAAAATTAACTCACTAAACGTAGCATTTCCAGAATTTTTACAATTCTTAATAATGCGAATAATCAATGAGTGTTAGCTTTTATTTTCACAAGAAAAAGGAATTCAAATACTTTTGCTAATTGATAACAATAACAGGGAAATATTTCTGCATTTTTCATTAGGTAGATAGGTTGAAAATTATTTGTGTTTTAAACAGTAATTTATACTCTGTAATCTAATTTATCTTATCTTCCTAACTATGACTTTTTTTCTTTTGCAGCTGTTTATTTCCACGTTTATTTTCAGGACTGTGGAAAGATAAATTAAGCTTGGCAACAAAGATGGAATCTCTGATGCAGATTACTAAATAGAAATTTTCAGTGGAAGACCGAAAAAAATAAAAATAAGATTCTTGACATTCTAACATCGAAACAACTTAAGAAAGAATAAACGCTCCTAATTTGTATGCGAAAGCAATTATTTTAGGTTAAATACGATCAAATATTCTGAATGTGTCAGAAGAGAACAAGATGAACATATTAATACTATATTTAATTTCATTCTTTTGTCATTTAATCAGGAAGATGTTAAAGAATATAGTTCGAAGCGTAATTTGATCAGGATGTAAAACTGCTTATAAATACAAGAAATTAGCTTTCTCATAAAAGTAAATTAATGTTGCTATTAAAATTAAGGTTAACATCTACTAATATAAGGCAC